CCGACCAGTGTCCTATGAACCGACCTCGTAGGTTCCTTCCCTTAAGCGCGTGACCCCTTAGGTTCAAGCCGGCTTGGTCGCAGTTCGGATCACCTCCGGACTATATGGCTGGTAGCGGCCTCTAGCAAGGCGTGCCGACCACCAAGCAGACGATGAAGCTGGTTAGGCGAACCTGTACAACGTGTCACACTTCTGTTCCCTTTGCCGCACGATATATGTTGTCGGGCTCAAGGCGAGGCTGTCATCCTTGTTCTAACCCGACCTCTTTCTCGTTCCAGTGATACCGACCACTATCCGGATTATCTCATAATCCTTGTCGCATGGCCATGCTGTTCTTGGTCGGATCACACGAGGGGCCCAGAGTATATCTCTCCTGATCGGAGGGGCAAATCACATCTTGCTCGACCATGTCTCGCAGCATAGGACCGGACAAATCCGAAACCTACCTTTGTAACTACCCAGTCACGGAGTAGCGTTTGGTCGGCCCAAAGCAAGTCTGTCACCATCTCGAATACATGCGTCAGCTCAGGTCTTAGGACATAGAACGTATGTTGTACTAGAGACTCACAGATGACATATCGCTGCGTCTCATAGTTGGGTCTGTCCGACTCGGACCTTATCTCGACTCGGATCCGACTATGTTGAATCCGACTAGACCTTTCCAAGTCCATATTATCCAGTTAGCATCCAATGCTTTATGGCTAGTGAGACCGAGCCATCGACCGTGTCATATGCTAGTCTAGTCGGCTGCGCGTCCACACAGCCCTTTCGACTAGGGACCTTTTAGGACAGTCATCATACAATGCATAGTCCCACAAACAAGTCACGTACTTGCTGATACACATCATTGATAATGTCCAAGGACTATCTTTATTCATAAATATATAGGAAATATCATCATACATGATTGCCTCTAGGGCATATCTCCAACAGTGAGGGCAATAATCAGGCAGTGGAAAATCTTATGTTTAGAGGTTCAGGGTGTTCTACTTCTCCAGTGCTTAAAACTTTTGGATCGGCAAAGAGGGGAACTGCTTAGAATCGCCTGGACAAGCTGAAAATGAAGTTAGGGTGATGGAGCTTTGAAGGGGGGAGTGTATTCTCATCTTGTGCTTATGCCGCTCTCTCCTGCCGTTCTCTACCTACCTTTCAGTGAAAAACTCTCGCTGAGAGATGTAAGAGGGCAGTAGTTTTAAACCCTGGTGTGTTTGTGCTGTGACAACTACTTTGGTTGTCGCTGAGAGCTGTTAAACAGTCTGATCCTGTTGTGGTTGCCTTGGCTTTTAATAAAAAGTTGTGGCGGGGGGCAACCCCTTTCTTCTCAAAAAAAGGTAGTGTTCATACAATCTGCAAGAGCTAGTTCTACTGCTTTCGGGGAACTTGATCCAACCAAAGTCATTGTCCTTCTTTCTACTCTAGCAAGACTAGCCAAGTAGTCGCTAACCTTATTCTGCGAACGGTTAATATGAGTAATACAAGTACGTTGAAGACCTCTAAGATGTCTAATTTCCATCACAAGCGAGGAATAAACAGATCTATCAAGTTCACGATCTTGAATCATAGAAACTGCCACCAACGAATCCATCTCAGTCACAATTGGGAGGTCACTTCTCTGGATGGCAAACGAGAGTCCTTCCATACACGCACAAAGTTCCGCCTCGAGCATATCCCGACAAGATCTCAGCTCCCTACAAGCTGAGAAAATGATGGATCCATCGGCACCCCTTAGAACCATACCTGCACCCGTCGTTCCATCTGTAGCAAAAGAGCCATCAGTGTTCAATTTGACCCACCCAAATCACAACCTGTGATTCCACACGAAACAGGGAAAAGCATAGTTATGCTTCCCCGGGAAGCACATGAGAAGCACGGGTGTGATTTGTCAACACCAGAGAAAAAGTGAAGTAACCTTTGGAAGAGGTAGTGATCTTGCCCGAACTGTGCAGTTTGCGTGGTTCGAAACCGAGACGAACGCAGAATCTCGTCCGGGCTTTACCAAACGGCGTCTGCGTTCAGCCCATGGGCAATGTTCTCTCCGTCTTTTTCTTCTTTTCCTTTTTGAAGTAGTATATGATTCTCTCTGCCTGTGTGAACCTAAAGTTACAAAATCGGGAACACCCAAGCTGATGATCCAATTTACAAATCGCGCTTGCCAGTACTGTTTTTTCCATCACCGAGATTGCCGGGCGGATCGACGCTTGTCAGCTCGCAGGAGCAACAGGATCAGATCAGTGAATGCGGTGCACTCTGACAGGCACTCTTGCTCTGCCGACATGGCTTCAGTCGCTGATGCATGCCCATCCGCCCACTCACCACTCGCCCAGGCCCATGACATGATTGTTAACATCAGCATGGCACGCACATGACCACCCTGCACAAGCGCGTAGAATTCGTCAAATACCCAAGGGTTCATGCATCATGATTCATGAGCACCGGCTGCCTCACTTCCATACTCCCGATCCCATCACTAACTGCACCAAAGGGATCCACCGTTCCTTTACCAGAGTCAACGGCTACTAAGCTAAGCTACACCGTCAGTGTTACGTCAAGATCAGTCCCATGCGATCGCGCACATCATCCCTAACCCCTAGGCTAGGAGAAGTCAAGTGCAACCATGCTGTCATGGCCAACTCCTGAGCTAGAATGGATGGATATGTCATGCACTTGACTTCCGACTTTCGCCTCTGCTCGACGGGTGAGTCTTGCAGTCATGCTAGCACGGATGGGTTCCCCCTACGTCCCAACCACCATTAAACTAACTAATCCGTCGCATTGCATCATAACACACTCCTCCAGTTTCGCCCAATGAAACCCTGTGAAAACACCACCAACTCAACTCAGAGCCGAGCATCGAGAGCCATGAGTAGGATTGCGCAGGTGTCAACCCGCGGTGGCCGTCCCTGTCTTCCACCTCCGTGAGTGCCTCTACTGACAGCGCCGTGTTGACTTTGTCCCATGGTGGATTATGGGGTTGACCCGCGAATGGCTGCACTGCGGGGCACTGATGATGGTGCCTTTTCTGCAAACCCTGTGTGACGAGTGTAGAGGATATGCATAGAAAATCACGAAAGGTCAAACGCCATGATCGACCAAAGCATATGAGAATGGCCAGAAAAGCAAGCTCTGGATAGACCATACCCATCTGTAAAGCAACGGAGACCAGCCAGGATCCACACATTCAGCATTAGTAGTACTAGTAGTTTGCAAGTAAGAAAATGCATCATCCGGACACTGATCTTGATGTTTACTACATCTTCACCGCTAGTAGGTCCTAGGAGTTGTGGCTGTGGCTGTAAAATGGCTCTTCATGGTTGGCCAATATTGAAAGGACAACACAAGCCCCACAAGCCTAATTTGTTTAACTGTGCTTATTATTCCTTCAACTGCTTTCTGATGCTAAAAACAAGATTGAACCCATGTTAACCCCCCCTCTCATGCATCAAAGATGGTGCTAATCTGTCGTCTTCACCGGTCCGTTTCTCAAGGTTCATGCATCATCCGTCCATCCATCCATCACCCGGATACTACAAGCCATTGTTTGATTGATGCAAGCGACAGTTACACCGAGGAACATACAGTGAACCAGGCAGGAGAGGAGCTAACATCCATATGTTGTACTGATTGGCAGCTAACCTAGTCTCTCTCTCTCTCTCTCTCCTACTGGGGAACTGGATTAGCATTACATTAAGCCGGATCAGAGATGTGCTAACGTGGACTCCTGACTCCCCCACATGATTCCCTCTGCCTTTCAAACCTCGGTGACACAGAGATCCAGATGCTTTCCCCCTCTCTACAGTTGCAACTTTATAGTAGTGTTTACATGCTCTGTTCCAGAATCCAGAGTAAGGTGAAGTGCATGTGTACTATGCTATATGAGTGAAGATTAGAGCGACACGTCTGCTCTCAGATTGGTTATCTCGTCTTGAGCTTTCAAGGGACCTGGAAACTTTTCAAATTTTTCCTTTCTTGATTCAAAATTAACTCTAGTTCAAATTGTTTGTGGAGTACCTTCTTGTTCCCTAAAGGCTTACGTATCACTGATCCTCACAAACACACCAGAAAATTTCATTCAAACTTTTGACGTTAAAAATAATTTTAGCGTCAACGCAGGCAGGCGGGAACATGATACGAAGCAGAGAGACAATGGATGATCGACCTGAGCAGAGGATACATCACAACTAAACCTACCAAGCCTGAACCAAGAGCGGCAATGCCGAACCAGCAAGAATTCCAACATCGCCCAAGCCATGTTCAAACTGTTTGTTAAGTACCTTCATGTTCTCTAAAGGCTCAATTATCACATGTCATTACAAACACATCCCTACCAAAAAGGAAAATTGGCATTCATAATCTTAATGCTAAAATTAACGACAATATAGCAATGTGTATACATCATATGAGTTTGAAATTAGTGGAATGTTGTCTAAATTAAAATTGTTTTTGACACCACAATGATCAAGCCCCAAGACTCTAGATGGAAAGAGATTTGTGCGAGGGTGATTTCTGTGGAAACCAGCTCATGCAATATCGTCTCTGAAAGTCAAATCCGTGCAAGAACAACATAATCTCCAAGTTTCTATCAAGAGTGGGATTTTTTTTTTACTTCATAATCCTGAAGTTAGTTGATGCATTTAGGAACAAATTTGCAACTTTTGTACCAGTTCATGTTTCATTCAACTTTTGAACTCATCTTATATTAAAATTTTCATCTCATTTCTGTTATGCTATTCTGAACAATATAAAAAAGTTCTGCAGTACAACACACATACCAACAGCAATTTCAAGTACCAAAGTGTATCTTTATTGAATCACAAAACTACATGACAGACTTAAATTTCTACATAAAACCTCCTTCCTGGCAATGCCATTCAAAAACCAAGCAGAGCAGGGGTTGATGTTACACATGAATACTTGACCAAACCCATAATAACCTATCCAAGAGCCTAATGAAAGCAGAAGTAATCACTTTGGACGAGCTGTGGATCAAGCATGAACTTGATTCAAGAAAGGATCGCGTCCCAGTCGATCTCGAGCGACGGGTACTTGCGCAGCAGGAACTCGTCCCATGGAGCCTCCGAGAAATCAAGAAGCTGCATCTCCGGGACGACGTCGGAGCACGAGGACACCTCGCCGTCAGCCGACGACGAGCTCTCGGAGACGGAGCAGACTGGCTCGCTCTTGACGTCCGGGAAAGAAATCGGCGTCAGTGTCGTCGTCGGCGCCGGCGTCTCATCGCTCTGGCTCTGGGGCATGTCTTCCCCGTGGCAGATGGAGCGGAGCTTGGCGTCGATCGCGGCGTCGAGCGGCGGGCCGTGGTGCTCGCCGCCGCGCCTGAGCTCGGGGAAGTTGAGCCTGGAGGACTCGCCGCGGAGCCGGAAGGCGGCGGCGTCGTAGGCCAGCGCGGCCTCGTCGGCGGTGTCGAAGGTGCCGAGCCAGAGGCGGGTGCGGTTGCGGGGCAGGCGGATCTCGGCGACCCACTTCCCCCAATGCCGCTGCCTTACGCCGCGGTAAAGCTTGGTCGCCGGCCGCGCCGGGAGCGCTGCCACGCCGTGCCGCTTCATCGGCTGCCCCACCGCGGCCATGGCCGCGCCCGGCGCCCGGCGCACGTGGTGCAGCTGCGACTGGAGCTGGAGGATTTGCGCGGGAGTGAGGTAGCTGGCGCCACGAAGCAGGCCGGCGCTCTGCTCCGCGCCGGGGCAGGGGAAGGCGAACGAGATGGTCGGAGCCGCGCCCTGCGCCGTCGCCGGAGCAAACGCGTGCATTACCTGGTCCCTGCTGTCCACCATGTGATACATCGCGGCAGGAAGATCGGGCCTATAGCTGCGCCAGTCCACCGTCGTCGCCATGCCCTTGTCGATCAAGAAACTCGGACACACAGGCAGAGAACCAGAGGAAGAAAACGCCAACGATTTGGAGGAAGGGAAGCCGAGGAGAGCTGGTAATTTAGGATGAACTGGGCGATTTGCCAAGAGAATGAATGGGAGCCGGGTGCGAGCTGTTGGGCAGCGGCGGAGGAAGCGCTTGATTTGGTGAGCAAGAACAGCCATTGCCGGGCTCTTTTATAAGCGCGCCGGAAGCAGGATCCGGCCAATGAGGAGGCGCCTCGTGTACGCGGCGATCTCCTACTGCCACCTGTCGGGACGCCTCCACGACCGGACGGGCGTCGCCGGGCAGGTGGCGGTGACACGACGGGCACCTGGCGGCTTGGGATTGGCCAAGGGGCGATTTTGACCTGATAAAGTCCAGATCTAGCTGTCACTTGACTGTCGTCGAGTGACTGATCTACGCGGCAGCATGGTTGCTACGGTCTCCGAGCACTCACGATCACTCACGGCTCGGTGGCAAAACATTTTTGTTTCTTCTGCAGAGGTTTCAGGGATCTAGTGGGCTAGGTTTTGGGACGTTCCATATCTCAGGTGTCGACGGCGCTGAACAAAGAAGCTTCAATTCCTTCTCCGACCGACAAGACGATCAGCTCTATGATCGGTAATGCATTGGGAACTACCATGTGATGGACTTGTGTCCTTTCACTCCGCCGTTGCGATGACATCTGCTCCAACGTCGATGCGGAGCTTGGAAGATAGTCAAATAGTGGATGTAGATAATGGTGCATCAATGACATCTGGAGGATAGATCTTGTGCTGGGTTCTTGGTTGGTGGCAGACATGTATGACTTCCTTCTTCGGTGTCTTAGTCTTGCGGGGTTGCCAGATTTGGGGTTCGATAGCATGTTTGAATTGTTGTCCCGGTCTGATTCGTTCAACGGCAATGCCTTTACATTTGGTGAGCCACCTTGGAGGTCCGCAAAGCTGTATATCCGCGATGTAGCAGCATCGAGCTTGGGTGATGAGGTGATTCGTTATTTTCTTTCTTTGGTGGTTGTTGTGGTGATGCGAAAGGTAGGTGACGAGCGTTGGTGTCAAACTCAGGGAATTATTTTGTCTTGATTGTAATTTTATTTACTAGCTGGTGTTTCTTTGGGCAAAGGCTACCATTTTGTTGTGTTTCCAGTTTTGTCACGTCGATGTCTATGTGGCTTGCAATATGATCTTTATGATATAAATAAGACACGTATTATCATAAAAAAATACATAACTTTTCCTATTCACGGATGCGCCTGGACAATGACCGGCCAATGGTCAACGCTCGCGCCCACTGTCGTGTACCTCATATTCGCCCCCTAAATCCATACTATCCGTGCAATGTAAAACAAACTATGCAGATCATCAACGAGATTTCGGAAACATAAAACAAGCGGGCAAAAACATCACAGTTAATCTGGACTAAAATACACAGTTTAACCATCATAGTTCAGCCAGCAAACAGATATAGATTTATACTAAAATTACTAGATATGCTAAAAGAAACATGGAAGGCCGAGGAATTCACCATTTTCTCATTGGTCCTTTGCCCTCGCAATCACTGGAGCGGCTGTAGCCCTCAGTGCAGGCGTCGGCGGCGGGAGGGGCGTCGGAGCCTGAGTAGGAGTCATCGATGACATCAAACTAGGAGTCGATGAAGTCGGCCATCCTCTGGTCGGCATGGTGCTGCTGCTTCGCCAGCCGAGCGGCTTTCGCTGCCATCGCCGCCGCCTTCTCCTTTGTTACGTGCTCCGATTGCTTGATGCCGAGCTGGGGTGCCTTGACGTTCTCCCAGCGGAGGCGACGGGAGTATGTCTCTGTCGTTGTTAGGGAGCGACGGACGACATCCGCGAGGAGCTTCCCCTTCTCATCGGCCACTGTCGACAATCCGCGTCAGCGGCGGGAGGAAGATGCGGCATCCTCCTCCTCTGTCGCCTTCTCCCTAGCCCGCTGCCTCTTGCCGCGAGCAGTGCGCGCACATCATATTCGGGCGTGCGCGACATCGATGCCCCTGCGAAGCAGCCGCCAAAGGCGTAGGAGGGTGTCGGGCAAGCGGAGTAGAGTGGGCCGAGCATGCAAAGCAGCGCGCGGTGCGGGACGGGTCGGCGCCGGGGTCCGCACGGCAACGTCGAGCAACAGGGGACGAAGTAGAGTCCAACTATTGCCCGTGTTGATCCGCTAGCTACTTGTCGTCGCCCGCCTCCGCCTCTTGGGCGAGGGCATCTCAGTTGATGGGACCATCCTCGCTGCCGGATCCGGCGTCGCCGCCACTGCCGGTGCTCGACATTGGGGAGGAGAGGGGAGGGAGGTGCGGCAGAGACCCGAGCGGAGAATAAGAGAGTGAAGCTAGGGTTTGATCCGAGTGGGGGCTTCTAGTATGGACGGAGTAGGGTTCGTGTGGGGCAGGTTGGGTCGGGCTGATGTGACGGACACATTCGGGCGCGTCCGAGCAGTCTCATATATGGGGTGGATATGAGAAGTGCCGGCCAGCCTTGATTGTTTGAGGAAGTCGTTTGAGTCGTGCAAAAGTGACCTGTCACTGATCGGACCGTCTGTTCGGCCAATATAAGGAGTCCAACTACAGATGCTCTAATGGTACATTTGCAGTTTTATATTGTATGGCAATACAATATCGAGGGGTAGTAATAGTAGCGTAGATGTAATGATACGATGGTGATTTAAGGGCCGCCCACATATCGCTTTGCTTTGACGACAAGGTCATCCTTTATGAGTGATGGTACACAGAGACAATTTGTGGCGAATTATCACAGTCCCATTGGAAAATGTGAGCAAACAATGGCCTTCGTTTTCCTTCCAGAAAGATGTTCCTTACCCTTCCAGAAACAAGGACATACGGACAGTGATACACTGATACTGTATGTACTGTGGACGGTGGAGACACGAGACTGTAATTTCAGCCGCGGAGCTCAGACCTATTTGTTTAAAGAAGATACTAGGAAGAAAAAGCATTGAAAGTCTATATGGGCGCACCACATGAATTGTATTAAAATAAATAAAGCGCTTGCCAGAGCCTACGCTGTATGGGCAGGACTTAAATACTCCATTCATTTTTATTTACTTCACATATTAGTTTTGTCTCGGGTCAAACTTTATAAATTTTGACCAAGTTTACAAAAAAATATTAACATCGACAATATCGATTCATACCATTAAAATCATCATTCAATATATTTTCATACCATAATATTTTTTATTGTGAAAGTTTAGATTGTTTTCGATGAACTTGGTCAAAATTTATAAAGTTTGACTTAGGTCAAAGTTAATATGCGGAGTAAAAAAATAAAGGGAGAGGAAATTTAATTATTTGATATCGGTTTTCATCCATGACGGTTGGCTACAAAATAGAGGCACGACAAACAGGAAATACACAGGAGCTCATGGGTGCTCCAAACTCCTATATGGATATTAAAATTTAAAAATACCAAGAAAATTAAAAAGAAACTGAGATCTTGGGATATCAAACTTGAGTGCTCAATCTACTCCCGTGTGAATTTTTGTGAAAAAATACTAGAAAATGTATCCATGGTGATGAAAATATAGTCCGACCTACAATCCATCCAAATAGTTTTTTTAAACACATGTTTTTTTTGTCTCTTTTACTGAGAATACTTTTCCTGGTCACTTAGGTTTGATATTCCAAAATTCCAGTTTTTTTAATTTTCCTGTTTTGTTTTAATTTAATACTCATATAGGAGGGTTCAAATCCTCTTCCTACGACAAACCAATTTTCCAATAGATGTGTCTTCCCCTTTAATATGTTCAACGGTCTTATAGTCGTGCCCCTTTGATTGGATGGCTTATTTGGCTCTTCAAGACCTTCCACCCTGCCTCTGTAGTGGGCCATACGACGTAAGCTCCGATTGCCGGAGCTTACGTCGTATGAGTACATGTTGAGAGTTGTACAACACAAAGCTGCGGAGTCAAGGATGCCGATTTCAAATAATTCATTCAAATTTTAATATTTTAGGGGTTCTTGTAGCACATGTTTGTTTTGGTTTCTTTGTAAATTTCTACCACTTATTGTTGCAAGTCATTTTATCATCCATTTGGCTTTAGAAAGGTACGACACATGGTTCAAATGTTGTTACTCCCTCCGTTCATTTTTGTAAGACCTTTTAGACATTTAAGACAACACGTAAAACAGTTCAATTTCAGCTGTCCTAAACGACTTACAAAAGTGAACAGAGGGAGTACAATTTTTTAACAATACCGACGCAAAATACTCTGTCATGACACATAATAATCTTTTTTTTTAGAAATGACACATAATAATCTCCAAACACATAAAACACGCACACGACGAAGCAGAAGAAAACAAACGCTCCCTGCTGAAAGTGAGATTAGACGAGAGAAACGCAAGGATAAGGCCCGATAGGGTCGCTGTTCACGGAAACCTGCCCCGCTACAGTCCGTTTACGCCGAAACGCACCCACAAATGGGCGACGCCGATGCGCACCGGAAGACGGGTGATGGCCAGAGAAATAAAGGCGACCGGATCGAAACCAGATCGCTCGTACGCTCCGATCACTGTGCGAGACGATGGGATCCCCCTCTCTTCGGGCAAGCGAACAGCGGCCGCGGCCGCGGATGCGGATGCGTCCGTCGGGAAAGCGGCTTTCGTAGTGGTCATGGGAGCTCCTGTCGCGGCGAGGCGACTTGACGCGACTGCAGGCACGCGTGGTCTGTGGCCGCTGCGAGAATTGTCGATCGCGACGGACGGGGGTGGGATGGATGGAAGGAGGAGCTGTCCGCGAGCCGCACAGGGGGCGCCTGGTCTGGAAGGGGGAATGTCCACGTGTGCCGTTCACGTCCGCAGGATAAGAACGGGTCGCTTGGAGCTTTTCTGTTGGAAGATCTCCTAGGGTGCCTAACCACGAGATCCTGTCCTGCAATCATCTCATCTCCGTCTCCATGCGTGTATGTGTCCTACAGGAAAGAGTATCATCAACTGTGGTACATCTACGTCTTATATTCTCCCAGGGCTGAGAAATTTGGGTGCTGCGTTGGAATATTTGGAACGCACGGTTGAAACATGAATTTCAGAAGAAAAACGAAAAACCGCGAACCCAGGCGGGAGAACAAATATGTAGTAACTGCAACGGCTGCAGCTCCAGGGTATTGTGTTTGAGATGCTCTGTACTTCCATGAACTTCCATAAAACTGTAGATCTGATCCTTTTCGCATTTTTTTTCTTCCAAACCCATTTCAGCAAGTTGGATACGAACAATTTTGGTGCCTATAGTTCTGGCCCTAGCTACAAGCAAATCCACGTCTTGTAGCATCAGCGTCGATGACAGCTAATCAATGGAGTCTTTCCATTGGCATCAGGCAATGCACATGATCTTAGACCAGCCTAGTAGTAGTAGGCACACAAAGCAGCCGTGACCAAGACCACCATCTCCGGCAGAGAAAAAAACAAGCGCGAAAAAACGAAAGCAGAAAGGAGAGGCAGGCAGCACCTGCCAGCCGAGTGCCGTTGGCCCATCTCAGCATATATCATAGTCTCAACTCATGTGTGCCAACATCAGTTGGGTGGAGATAATGTTCTAAACTGGAAGTCAAAAAATACTACATGGAGGCGATAATGCTTTAATATGAACTGGTGGCTGTGATCCACGCCAGGGGCAAAGGGGCCAACATGGATTAGCGGCCATGTACGGAGGAGGCAAAAATTAAGGCCTAATGATGCAGCGCAACCGATTTGGCAACATGCTAATCATGCGGAGCACGTAATCGTTAGGTCTGAATGCCCTTTCAGGAAGGAGTGTGACAAATTTGGTGATGGGTGATGACATGAGCCTCAGCAACCGCCCAGCAATATAAACCAGGTCAAATAAATTAAGCAGAGGAATTTTTATTGCAGGACTGACGAAAGGATCAAGTAGAAAATAGGTGTGACGACATAACAATGGGATTCATTATTGTGTAGATTAATTAATGACGCAGCACCACAACAGGGTGACAGTGTTGGCCTTGGCTTGGCCCTACACACAACACTAAACCAAGAAGGCAAGATCACTTTTCTTTTTAATCCTGTTCATGGCATATTCAATTTATTATACATATGGATAAAACATAACTAAATAAAAGGAACATGTTTCAGGATTGGGTTTGTTAAAAGCTAATAAAACTAACATGTACAAGCAAGTATGAAAGCATAAGTCCTCTATTAGTTGCTTATTTTGATCTTTTCTCATAAGTCATAACTCAACTTGTAAAAACTACTGTATATCACATCACTTTTGCTTTTTTATGGTTGAGGTTGGGACCCGGGGAGCATAAGATTTTCCACGCCCTATGCCATGCCCCTAGGATAGGGTTCTATCCCAAAACCTTCAATCATTCTAAAAAAAAACCTTCAACCATGAATTTGCAAATTCAGGGTAAGAAACTAAAGGTTTTTATATAAAAAAAACATGGTAAATCAAATAGCCGTGAATAGACTGTATTCTTTTTCTCAGGAAACAAAGCAAACATGAAGATCATGGGCGGTTATATAAATTCTGCTCAATGAGCATACATCATGGAGAAATGAATATCCATTATCCATTACCTTTATTATGTTATAATGATAAAAGGTTGGATTCTACGAACCTATTTGCATACAACAAGACTTAAGTTATTCGTAAAGCTAGGTCGTCCCTTAGATACATTGAATTATAAGCTAAAGTTGTATGTCACTTATTTGGTCAGCCAAATCCATTTCACTAAAAAAACTATGTGAAGTTCCAGAAATTTATGAGCAAAGCATATAGTCACATGTCTTAAGCTGAAAAGCAAATGAAAGACCAAATTCCTCAAAGAGAACATCTGTGTTAAGACACTTACTGGAACTGCATAAATAACCGGGATATACCTCATTCCAAAGTGTCAGGCAATAGAAAATATGAAGATGCACAATGAATATGGTTTGGAAAATGAAACAGAGATGGTTGAGTGATTGATATGTGCTTCATTTGTATACTTATAGTAGACATGTGACATGTTCGTTAAAGAAACAGTTGCATGCTTGCATGCTCTAATTGTGCCTATTTGAGTATGGTTAATTACCATCCCGGAATAAGATAACTTTGTTTAAATGTCGATGACCCATTCAATATCTTTTCTACTTACAGCAACATCATCAGCTAATAAACAAATAAAATTAGCTCTGATGGCTGTTAAAAGAACAGAGTAAAAACATGGGTATTGAGTTGGGCAACACATTCTGGATAGGGAAAAACACATTGTTGGGGATGATCATGTACTTGATGTTATGTTTTTGCTGCATAGCAAACAAGCTTTGATCGTACTTCCTCAAGCTCAACATCTTCCATATCATCATAACTTAACCATGAAGATAAGCAGAGATTAACAACATCCGTACCACTATCAATTGGTGCAGAGCCATCAGAATTTGCAGGTTGTCCAAACTTAAGTATCTTCCCTAGATTGGCAGCAGATGGCTCCTCTGCAAACTTCAGTAAGATGTCTTTCATTGCACTACACCAGATAGGCCGAGCCATCTCCAAGAAGGAGGACAAAGTTGTAATAGCAAGCTTAACTGCTCCAACGTCAGTCTCGTCTTTCGTCCCTTTTCCATGAAAATCTGAACCTCCAAGCTTCAGAAGTCCGTACTTCTCAGCTAATTGACTAAACCCTGCAGAGTTAATGCTAACAAATAAATCTTTGGCACATGATAGGAGTATCTCCTTTTATTTTGAATTACCTATTTATGTAGCATACAACTGTGCAAGCGACGTACGTACCATCAACCTTCCCATCACTTCTGTAAACCTCCATAGCATGAAGACCAGCACCTTTCAAGGACCAAATGATGGCATCCGGATTCTTCAATGACCATGGGTGGGCTAATGCAGATATACCTCCAGTACGGCTAATCATCTGCACCACAGTTTCAGTAAATGGTTCACTCCCTCTGCAGAAAATACACACACAGTTGTTCACTAAGCAGTTTTCTCAGCATGAAATGCTCAATGGAATGAAGTATTACTTGTATGACTTACGTGGCATATGCAGGGCCATCATCACCAAGATACTTATTAAACGCTTGCCTGACATTATCTACATAACCTGCTTCAACCAAAGCCCTTGCAATATGGAGTCGACCAGGTGCCACTCCCTCACCAGCAATCTTAGTTACACGCTCCCACTTTATTGGCACCTTCAAACTGTTTAGCTTTGCCAGCATATTCTTTGCGCGTAGGTATCGCCCGTTTCTAATGTTCAAGAGCATGCTGTCCAACTCATCAAACCTTGATGGGCCACACATACCATAGTATGCAAGAATATGAACAGGTTCACCAGCACCAGGAATTTCCCTTTTAGACAATAGTTTCAGGGGAAGTTAAGGCCCAAAGCGCAAAATGCAACATATGTACAGTGAACGGCAAAAAATACTAGCCAATGTATCGTTATTTTGACATAAATCACTTATACCACGTCAGAAAATATGTATTGACTTTTGATCAATGATCATCAGTAATATAAATATGACATACATCAAAGGAGCAAGGTGTTCCTAAAAGGATCATTTAAGAGGTGATAAATTTTGATCTATACAAACAACAATTCCTGGGATCAGCATTCTGTCCAGATAAAACAGCAAACGGTTGCTAATAAAAATTGATTTAACTCATATATTTCAATTTAAATGATACCTTTTTATGCAATAAGTGCACCAGCTCATGAGCAAATTTATCAATTTCAGGCTCTAGATTTATGGCTTTGCTGATACGTAACATGAATAAACCCTCCCATACAGAAACAAGGTAGCTGCAACTTTGGACAATCATAGTTCTAAACGACGAGGGTATTTATGCAATATGCTGACTGATTTGTTGCATTGTAATGTTTCCTCTAAAAAAATATCACTGTATTGTTTATTTTCACTTTGAACATGAGAAATGCCTTTGTAAGCAAAGTAAAAAAGGCTCTTACCGTGGAGAATGTAGTGCACTAATTTCTACGCCAGGAATTATTCTTATGCCACATTTATGAGCTGCAGACATAGCTTCCGGTATACCAGCCATGGTATCATGATCTGTTAGAGCGAGAACTTTCACCTGCATACCGGCATTTATAATTTAATCATTCTTATTTTGAACAATCAAAACTGCGACACCATATAACAGTAACACTAAACCTGGCAGACATCCGTAACAGAAACATTGTGGAAATAAGATATATCTCATCCGGAAATGATCCATGAGAAGAAAAAAATGGACTTAAACCCATTGATGTTTTTTGCTTTTTGAGAGATAAAAAGGAAAAGAAGACAATAATGCACGTTGTAAACTACCTAACGCAGTCAGCAGATCACCAATTCATTTCACTTTGATGGTGGCTGTGTGCCCATACCGCAGGCATTATCTCTTCTATTATCTTCTTTGTTTTGTCTTTTTAACTTTGATGGAATAACACAATTATTGAAGGCCAAATAAAGCTTTGAGAGGAGACACAAACTTTCCTCTAAGATGGTCCAGTACAGCAGTTTAAAAGTTAACAATACAAGCCTATGAGGCTTCTACTAACCAAAATCAAACCAATAGGCATGCTATACATGTAGCGAAAGATCAGGAGGCAATGCCTGTATTCGCTCAACACTGGAAGATTTGCAGATGGATAATTTTCCAGGGAGAACCTACACGGCACAGGACAGAAAACGCTAGCCGAACCTCACAAGCATTTTCTCAAACACCTGCCGCGCAAGAAAAAGAGAGGAGAGGAGAGGAGAGGGACCGACTTACCCCGTTGCGGTGGGCGCGCTCGACGAGAGCGGAGGGCGACAGGAACCCGTCGCTATGGTTGGAGTGGGAGTGAAGCTCAAACAGCACGTTGGCCCCGCCGCCGCAGGCCATGCGCGCGGCATGGGGCGGCAGGAAGCCGCCCACGGCATCGGCCGTCGAGGGTTCCGGAGGGGGCGTGGGGTGCGCCCAGGCGCGGACGTAGTCCAGGGCCAGGGCCTGGTCAGCGCTGGTCCTCGGCTTCTTCCTGCCCCTGCTCGGCTTCGTCTTCTTCTTGGTTCCCATGGCAGTGTTTGGGGGGTTGCAGTGGCACAGGCGGCTTCGGTCAAGGGGGAGGAAGGTGGAAGACGAAGAGAAGGTTCTTTTGATGTTCCCGGCTTGCCAAATAGAGATTCATCGGCCGTGTGCTTTAAATTTGAATTAATGATTTTGGTTTGTCTCGAATCAGTTATTTTCATCTTACTTAGAGCAAGTACAATAAAGCTGAGTCAGCTGGCTATAAGAAATAAACTAGTATATTTTTACTTAGTTGGAGGAAAGAGAAGAAGAGAGAGAAGGGAAGCGGGCTCTTGGTGAAGAGCCAACTCTAGCACGTGCTCCTAGGCACTTTGTGAGAGTGAAAGGTGGGTCATATAATAAAAAAGTAGTACACTTTTCTAATCAACTATTGTACATATTGGCTATAAGATGGGCTATAGATGACATGGCAATGGCTTATAGCCAGCAGTTGGCTATACTATTAACCATGCTCTTAATGTACTTCCTTCTTCTCAAAATTCTTGTCTTAGTTTTGTCTAAAAACAGATGTATCTAGTTATGTTTTAGTGTTAGATACATCTATATCTAGACAAATCTAAGACAAGAATTTTGGAAAGGGGGGAGTACTATACATGAAATCATTGTTATTTTGGATGACCGGCCCAGCCCCGGGCAGTCGCATTCCACACGTCCGTTGCGTTGTCTTTG